GTACTCACCTAGTTGTTCTTGCGGGGGTTGAGCTCTGGCTCTTTGGTCTCGCCTCTCAACTGTCAATCAACAGGTGTACAGGTTCTTGAGCCTATTGGGCTATATCATATATACATTTGAAAATTGTGTATGGAGTCAGCCTCCACCACATCACTGCCTAATGCATTCCATCTGTTAACTACTCTGACACTGAAAAAGTTCCTTCTAACGTCTCTGTGGCTCATGTGGGTACTCAGTCTCCACCTGTGTCCCCTTGTTCGCGTCAGTGTTGAATAGTTTATCCTTGTTTACTCGGTCGATTCACCGTTTTGTGTGTGTGTGTGCGTGTGTAGACCCTTGGGTTCATGGCTGTGGTATGTGTAGGTGCTGGATGTTTAGAGAACAAACTCGGTTACTTGCACATGTACGTTAATGAACACACACACACACACATTGACAGTTGAGAGGCGGGCCGAAAGAGCAAAGCTCAACCCCCGCAAACACAACTAGGTGAAACAGTGTTCCAAGCGGTTGACATTAAAGACCTTCTCTCCACTGCCAACTAAAAGCCTTATAGTGTTTGAGCTCTGCAGGAGCCCCGAGGAGCTCTCAGTGAGCCGAGGAGCTCAACCACACCGAGCTCACCTTGGTTCCCAAGGTAGGCAATTAAGCTCCCTTCCTGTGCTACTCTGAATCCTAAATGAAGTATTTGTTTACTTAATTTTGCGCCTGGCAGCGCGGTGCGTAATGACGTCACAGGTAGGCGTTATAAAAAGCAAGGGACTATATATATGTATGTATGTATGTATGTATGTATGTATGTATGTATGTATGTATGTATGTATGTATGTATGTATGTATGTATGTATGTATGTATGTATGTATGTATGTATGTATGTATGTATGTATGTATGTATGTATATATGTATGTATGTATGTATGAGTCCATTGGAAAATTCCACAAAATCGGGAAAATGATTTTCCTTCCCCCATGTCCAGCTGCTGGAAATGACAGTTTGATCGATCCTCAACGGTGCGTTATTTTTCCTTCTTGGACGTATGTTAATTAACCTGAGACACGGTAAAACACTCATCAATAATTGGTGTGTGTGTGAAACTTTAGATGGGACCTCGCTGCCATGGGTGGGTGGTGGTGGTCTGTAAGTGGTGGTAGAGGTCTGTAAGTGGTGGTAAGTGGTGCTAGTGGTCTGTAAGTTGAGGTAGAGGTCTGTAAGTTGTGCTAGTGGTCTGTAAGTTGAGGTAGAGGTCTGTAAGTGGTGCTAGTGGTCTGTAAGTTGAGGTAGAGGTCTGTAAGTTGTGGTAGAGGTCTGTAAGTGGTCTTGTACATACAAGGGGCTCTGAGCCTCTGTATCTCTGGCCACTGCTGGGGTCTGAAAGCAAGGGGCAGACACCTGCAGCAGACTCCTGCAGCAGACTCCTGCAGCAGATAAGGAGACAGCTCGGGCACACAACACCGTACTTGACAGGTGAGGAACAGATCAGTAACGTCTCACAACCTTGCTGGAAAGCACAGTGGAGACATGATAACAACGTATAAGATTATAATGCGAATTAAGTGAAGAAAGAATGTTATGATAAACGGTGGGAGCAGAGGGCACTGGGGGGGATGCAGGTGACAGGAAGACGTCAGGAGACACATCCTTAAGGACCGCTAACAAGTGGAGTGGTCTCTAAGGATAGAGGCTCGAGGCCACCTCAATCACCAGCTTCAAAGGGAGCTGAAACGAGCCCCATGAAGGAAGAGGAGTCATTGGCCAGATGTTGGAAAGGCGAGGCTAGGGAGCTAATACTCGACTCGTCAACCATTACTATGTAAGTATATTTAGGTGAGCACACACACACACACACAGGTATCTCTGTATCCACCTGTTGATTGACGGTTGAGAGGCGGGACCAAAGAGCCAGAGCTCAACCCCCGCAAGCACAACTAGGTGAGTACAGGTGGAAACTGAGTACCCACATGAGCCACAGGGACGTTAGAAAAAATTTTTCAGTGTCAGAGTAGTTAACAGATGGAATGCATTAGGCAGTGATGTGGTGGAGGCTGACTCCATACACAGTTTCAAATGTAGATATGATAGAGCCCAATAGGCTCAGGAACCTGTACACCAGTTGATTGACGGTTGAGAGGCGGGGCCAAAGAGCCAGAGCTCAACCCCCGCAAGCACAACTAGGTGAGTACACACACACACCCTCCAACACAAGCCACAGACGTCCGTCACGTCAAATATGCTAGAGCGATCCATCAAACTGTTAGTGTAAGTGAGAGAGAGGACAAGACAGCCACACAGTAGGAGCCTGTCGAAGGCAACTATTTTTTGACCTCTCTGCACCTCCTCATTGGTTCTTTGGCTGTTACATTGGCTGCTATATGTGGAACACACACACACACACACACACACACACACACACACACACACACACACACACACACACACACACACACACACACACACACACACACACACATACACACACACACACACACACACACATACACACACACACACACACACACACCACACCACACACACACACACACCTTGAGGTGAGGTGCACATACACACACACACACACACACACACACACACACACACACACACACCCACACACACACACACACACACACACACACACACACACACACACACATGTAAACTAACATTCAAAAGTAGAAGAAAATTCCATTTTGAGCCAAATTTACATTACAGAACAAATCAAGTAAATTCTCAAATAAAAATATATATATATTCAAATTACAAACGAAAAAATTGTAATCGAAAGCAAATTTCCGGTAAAGATTAGAGACGAATCTCAATTCGATTTTAAAAATTGACTTCCAAATCGAAAGCCTTCGACCAGTCAGAGTGTAATGAATTCCTGTTCTAAAAAAAAGTCAATTATCAATCCAATTAAAAGTCAATTACCATTCAGAGAGAAAGACATCTCCCAGGGGCCCACGTACACTGCTGCCCGTACTCCCAGGGCCCACGTACACAGCTGGCCGTACTCCCAGGGGCCCACGTACACAGCTGGCCGTACTCCCAGGGCCACGTACACAGCTGGCCGTACTCCCAGGGCCCACGTACACTGCTGGTCGTACTCCCAGGGGCCCACGTACACTGCTGACCGTACTCCCAGGGGCCCACGTACACTGCTGGTCGTACTCCCAGGGGCCCACGTACACTGCTGGCCGTACTCCCAGGGCCACGTACACAGCTGGTCGTACTCCCAGGGCCACGTACACAGCTGGCCGTACTCACAGGGCCACGTACACAGCTGGCCGTACTCCCAGGGCCCCACGTACACAGCTGGCCGTACTCCCAAGGGCCCACGTACACTGCTGGCCGTACTCCCAGGGGCCCACGTACACTGCTGGTCGTCGTGGGTCAGTAGACATGCACTCGCCTGCAAATTTAAGTTGCACTCTGGTGAGTGTTGTGTTGCCCTGAGGGGCGTAAAGTGTTGCGCCTGACTCCATCCTTCCCAGGGGAGGGAGGGGATGGAAAGAGGGAGGGAGAGAGGACAGAGAGAAGAGAGAGAGGGAGGGAGAGAGGACAGAGAGAAGAGAGAGAGGGAGGGAGAGAGGACAGAGAGAAGAGAGAGAGGGAGGGAGAGAGGACAGAGAAAGAAGAGAGAGAGGGAGGGAGAGAGGACAGAGAGAAGAGAGAGAGGGAGGGAGAGAGGACAGAGAGAAGAGAGAGAGGGAGGGAGAGAGGACAGAGAGAAGAGAGAGAGGGAGGGAGGTACGAAAGGAGAGGAGAGGGGGGGGGGAGGGAGAAGAATATAAACACCGATATATGTGTCTATATACAATAAACACTGAATGCTTTACGGGGCTCGCCATAGCCCGTGCTACGTGGACACTTTGTTCTGAGTAGCTAAATCTGAAAACAACAAGTCACTGAATCAATCACATCAAGAACTGTAATCATATTCAACTTCTTGAGGTTATCTTGAGATGATTTCGGGGCTTTAGTGTCCCCGCGGCCCGGTCCTCGACCAGGCCTCCACCCCCCAGGAAGCAGCCCGTGACAGCTGACTAACACCCAGGTACCTATTTTACTGCTAGGTAACAGGGGCATAGGGTGAAAGAAACTCTGCCCATTGTTTCTCGCCGGCGCCCGGGATGGAACCTGGGACCACAGGATCACGTGGTGCAGCGTGCTGTCCGCTCGACTTATATATAACATTTATATAGTGAGAAGGAGGAGGAGGGAAGAATGGAGTCCCAGGAGTAGAAGAACTCCCAGAACCCCATCAAACAGGTATCAACCAGGTATCAACCAGGTATCAAACAGGTATCGACCAGGTATCAACCAGGTATCAACCAGGTATCAACCAGGTATCAAACAGGTATCAACCAGGTATCAACCAGGTATCAACCAGGTATCAACCAGGTATCAACCAGGTATCAAACAGGTATCAACCAGGTATCAAACAGGTATCAAACCGGTATCGACCAGGTATCAACCAGGTATCAACCAGGTATCAAACAGGTATCAACCAGGTATCAACCAGGTATCAACCAGGTATCAACCAGGTATCAAACAGGTATCAACCAGGTATCAACCAGGTATCAACCAGGTATCAACCAGGTATCAACCAGGTATCAACCAGGTATCAACCAGGTATCAAACAGGTATCAACCAGGTATCAACCAGGTATCAACCAGGTATCAAACAGGTATCAAACAGGTATCAACCAGGTATCAAACAGGTATCAACCAGGTATCAGGAGAGCAAGGAAGCACAAAACGATACACTTCAAGGATAAGTTTGGCTCAGCAAAATTGTCATCAGATTATATTGGGTCTGTTCGCTATATGCTGCGTCAAGTGAGTCTCCATATAACGCGCTGGATTATATATGTGATTACAGGATTACAGACACATTGACACTTCATTAATTCTTTTTTATAAATGTACGCTAATGAGAACACTGTCTAAATTCACTCTTTTATTTGGTGTTATTAAAACAGATTTTGTTTACTTGCTACAGGAATGACAATGCTGCCTCCAGAGGATGGTGTTCGCGTTCCTGATTCGTTATCCTCTTATCACTCCACACACCTGACTCTCACACATGACTCCGTAAGCCCCGACTCCATCTCCATAAGCCCCTCCCTCAATTCGATAAAGTCTGATCGAGAGTCAGCGGACTCCGCCTATACCGAGATGAACTCCACATCTACTATCGTAGGTTCCACAGGTGAGCCA